ATATATATATATATATATATATATATATATTGCAATGCTAGATTTTTCCAATATCGTGCAGCCCTATTTGAATTACTTGGCGAAAAATTGATAGGCCAACAGTTAACTCTTGATAGAAGGTTTCTATGACTGTTTTAAATTTTATAAGGTTCCTTTCTCAGCATCGACATTGTAATATAATTAAAATACACTCAGTTAAATAAATGTAAGCATTCATTTAGTTGTTCACGCGTAAAAGAAGATGATAGACTGTGTAACCGCTAGAGCCATCAGGAGCAGCAAGTTATTGCTAAAACTCTGTTGAACATACTGAGGTAAAATATATTGTCATATTTTAATGAGATTGCGTGAAAAAAAGTTTAATTTAATACAGTGCTTCTTGTCCGGTCTGAGGCCCACTTTATATCAGATATCTATTAGGCAGTAAAGATCACTGATTTGTAAAGAAAACAGATCTTAAATCTGGCAATTTGTAATGGAAAGACTGGAAGCCGTCAGGCTGGCTGGTTGAAAATTAAAAGTCCGTTTACATATGCCCTGTTAATGACTCCAATATGTAAACCTTGCTTTATTTCTGCTTGTGCTAATTTAGTTTGCAAATAATATTATAGCGTTCTGTCAATGTTTATTGTTTACCAAGGTACTGCGGTGATAGAAATCTTGTGAGGTCGAAAACGTATACATATCATATAATTTCATGTATTTGCCATCTAATTACAAAATACAATTAAAGTTGTAGGTATTTTGACGAATTTGTGACAGAATTAATTTTGCTTAGAATATTTTGAGACACGGTGTATGTATATATATATATATATATATATATATATATATATATATATATATATATATATATATATATATATATAATAGAAAACACTGAGGAAAATGTCCTTACTCCATTAAAAATCATTAATTAAAATGAAAAATAAAAAATAAATAATTTAAATGTTACAAGAGGGCTAGTAATTTTGTCTTTAAATGCACTGAAAAAATATATATATTTTTTTTTATGTAAGTGGTTGAATTTAAACACATTAAGTTGAGCATTACTAAATTAGTTTGCGTAAATTCAGCCCATATAAATTGTTGCTTTAAAAAATTGAGCATAATAAATCAGTGTTTTTAGTTTAATGCAGCGTGCATAAATTACTTGCACACAATTAATAAAACAAAAAATACAAAACACGATTTTCTGGCATCAAACTCTCCAACAGTGCACAGGTGATGCGTGGAGCGCGCGCGCGCGTTTTTCTGGAGCTCCGCGCGCACAGGTGCGTCAGTGCACAAGGTGTGAATGAACTGACCTGGTTTCCTCCGCACGGGTCGCTTTTTCCCACTGCAAAACCGGACTTTGCCGAAGAGTCCGAACAGGTGCCGCTCGCACAGTGAGCCCCGGCCGGTGGGCTCTTTACCGGGGCTGGAGCGGCGCTTTCCGGTCGCCGCTCGTTCACTGTTGGACTCGCGCGCCTGGCGTTTCTGTCGAATGAGCGAACTGGCGATCGCCGCAGCCATATCACGGCGCAAGGAGACACACGGGTCCGGTCGGGCAGATTCTGTGCAGATTCCCGGTGCAGAGCACAGGCGCGGGGGAGCGGGCGCGCGCAGTCATGCACCGGAGCATGAGCGAAACCGATAGACTCGCGGTTTCTTACCACGGAAAGCACTTAGAGTTACATAACCGCACAATTAGACCACATAACAACACACAGAGACTGTCCCAAAAAACGAGAGGTCCTAACGGGAGCGTCAGTTATTCATGACTCCTGTCAGATATGTGCAGCTGGAATGACGGTCGACGGCGGCGCGCTTGTGAACTTCTCATCAAAAAATCATCCGCGAAGTCCGGTTTGCTCTCAACATGTGGATCCGAGAGTCCTCAGCCCATGTCTGAGTGGAGAGCCCGGAGTCCAGAGAACAACTGAACTGAGGATCCTTCAAGAGGCGTCTGATGATAGAGGGACTCCAGATGAAGAGTTGATGGAGCTCAGAGAGATGCTGAGAGAGAGAGAGATGGGAGGGGAGGGATGTGTGCGTGTGTGTGTGTGTGTGTGTGTGTTGGTGTGTGTTGAATAGAAAAGAGACATATATGGGAGGTGGAGTTATGTGTGTGTGTGTGTGTGTGTGTGTGTGTGTCTGTATTTGTGTGAGTTTGTGTGATGTGTGTGTGTGTGTGTGTGTGTGTGTGCCTGTATCTGTGTGATGTTTGTGTGTGTGAGATGTGTGTGTGTGAGTGTTTGTGTGTGTGTGTGTGTTTGTATTCGTGTGAGTTTGAGTGATCTCTGTGTGTGTGTGTGTGTGTGTGTGTGTGTGTGTGTGTGTGTGTAAGAGAGAGAAATGTGTATGTGTGTCTGTATTTGTGAGTTTACAGTATATGATGTGTGTATTTTTGTGTTTGTGTGTGTGCCTGTGTTTGTGCGTGTGAGATGTGTGTGTGTGTGTGTGTTTGAACAGAAGGAAAAGGAGAGAGATACTAAAAGAGAGTATGTGTATTTGTGTGTGGTGTTCGTGTGAGATGTATGTGTGTAAGTGTGTGGTCGAACAGAAGGAAAAAGAGAGAGATGCTGAAACAGAAAAAGACGAGAGCGGGAGTGATGTGTGTGTGTGTGTGTGTGTGTGTGTGTGTGTGTGTGGTCGGATAAAAGGAAAAAGAGAAGGAGAGCGACTCGACTGGGAACAGAGGCGGGAGGTCAAAGCAACAGCTTTCCCGAAAAATGACACAGTCGCAGCGGGAGCATAACAGAGTCCTGAAGCTGAGACTAAACTTGTTGGCTTTTCAGACAAGCGCATATCCTTATCCTTAAACCATGACCAAAAAACCCAGCCATGCCTGAACAAAAGGACATAAACAGTGTTTCTCACTGGACAGATTGGTGTTTGTGTCCCGGGCATGGCCTAAACTGTAAAAGTGCCCACATTTATGCTCTGACTCTCCCATAATACTTATGAGAGATTTATACTCATGGTGAATTCGAAATGACCAGTCAAGACATTCCAAGGTATGTTATGTCCATAAAACAACCGCTGAATAACACAAGTTCATCTGATCAGTTGTTTTCGTTTCCATCAGCGTTGTAATTTTGACTGTTTGGCGCCATCTTGTGTCTGAATAATACTCAGGTTAGTGTATACTCCATCAGCTGTTTTCGTTTCTGTCAGCTTTGTGTTTTTGAATGTTTGGCGCCATCTTGTGTCTGAATAATGCTCAGGTTAGTGTATACTCTGTCAGCTGTTTTCGTTTCTGTCAGTTTTGTGTTTTTGACTGTATTTAGCACCATCTTGTGTCTGAATAATGTGCAGGTTAGTGTATACTCCATCAGCTGTTTTTGTTTCTGTAAGCTTTGTGTTTTTGAATGTTTGGCGCCATCTTGTGTCTGAATAATGCTCAGGTTAGTGTATCCTCCATCAGCTGTTTTCCTTTCTGTCACCTTTGTGTTTTTGAATGTTTGGCGCCATCTTGTGTCTGAATAATGCTCAGGTTAGTGTATACTCCGTCAGCTGTTTTCGTTTCTGTCAGTTTTGTGTTTTTGACTGTTTGGCGCCATCTTGTGTCTAAATAATACTCAGGTTAGTGTATACTCCATCAGCTGTTTTCGTTTCTGTCACCTTTGTGTTTTTGAATGTTTGGCGCCATCTTGTGTCTAAATAATACTCAGGTTAGTGTATACTCCATCAGCTGTTTTCGTTTCTGTCACCTTTGTGTTTTTGAATGTTTGGCGCCATCTTGTGTCTAAATAATACTCAGGTTAGTGTATACTCCATCAGCTGTTTTCGTTTCTGTCACCTTTGTGTTTTTGAATGTTTGGCGCCATCTTGTGTCTAAATAATACTCAGGTTAGTGTATACTCCATCAGCTGTTTTCGTTTCTGTCACCTTTGTGTTTTTGAATGTTTGGCGCCATCTTGTGTCTGAATAATGCTCAGGTTAGTGTATACTCCGTCAGCTGTTTTCGTTTCTGTCAGTTTTGTGTTTTTGACTGTATTTAGCACCATCTTGTGTCTGAATAATGTGCAGGTTAGTGTATACTCCATCAGCTGTTTTTGTTTCTGTAAGCTTTGTGTTTTTGAACGTTTGGCTCCATCTTGTGTCTGAATAATGCTCAGGTTAGTGTATACTCCGTCAGCTGTTTTCGTTTCTGTCAGCTTTGTGTTTTTGTCTGGCGCCCTTTTTTGTCTGAATAATGCGCAGGTTAGTGTATACTCCATCAGCTGTTTTCGTTTCTGTCAGCTTTGTGTTTTTGAATGTTTGGCGCCATCTTGTGTCTGAATAATGCGCAGGTTAGTGTATACTCCATCAGCTGTTTTCATTTCTGTAAGCTTTGTGTTTTTGAATGTTTGGCGCCATCTTGTGTCTGAATAATGCTCAGGTTAGTGTATACTCCATCAGCTGTTTTCGTTTCTGTAAGTTTTGTGTTTTTGTCTGGCGCCCTCTTGTGTCTGAATAATGCGCAGGTTAGTGTATACTCTGTCAGCTGTTTTCGTTTCTGTAAGCTTTGTGTTTTTGTCTGGCGCCCTCTTGTGTCTGAATAATGCGCAGGTTAGTGTATACTCCATCAGCTGTTTTTGCTTCTGTCAGCTTTGTGTTTTTGTCTGGCGCCCTCTTGTGTCTGAATAATGCGCAGGTTAGTGTATACCCCATCAGCTGTTTTTGCTTCTGTCAGCTTTGTGTTTTTGTCTGGCGCCCTCTTGTGTCTGAATAATGCGCAGGTTAGTGTATACCCCATCAGCTGTTTTTGCTTCTGTCAGCTTTGTGTTTTTGTCTGGCGCCCTCTTGTGTCTGAATAATGCGCAGGTTAGTGTATACCCCATCAGCTGTTTTTGCTTCTGTCAGTTTTGTGTTTTTGACTGTATTTAGCACCATCTTGTGTCTGAATAATGTGCAGGTTAGTGTATACTCCATCAGCTGTTTTCGTTTCTGTCAGCTTTGTGTTTTTGAATGTTTGGCGCCATCTTGTGTCTGAATAATGCTCAGGTTAGTGTATACTCCGTCAGCTGTTTTCGTTTCTGTCAGTTTTGTGTTTTTGTCTGGCGCCCTCTTGTGTCTGAATAATGCGCAGGTTAGTGTATACTCTGTCAGCTGTTTTCGTTTCTGTAAGCTTTGTGTTTTTGTCTGGCGCCCTCTTGTGTCTGAATAATGCGCAGGTTAGTGTATACCCCATCAGCTGTTTTTGCTTCTGTCAGCTTTGTGTTTTTGTCTGGCGCCCTCTTGTGTCTGAATAATGCGCAGGTTAGTGTATACTCCATCAGCTGTTTTTGCTTCTGTCAGCTTTGTGTTTTTGTCTGGCGCCCTCTTGTGTCTGAATAATGCGCAGGTTAGTGTATACCCCATCAGCTGTTTTTGCTTCTGTCAGCTTTGTGTTTTTGTCTGGCGCCCTCTTGTGTCTGAATAATGCGCAGAATAGTGTATACTCCATCCGCTGGGTATCTCATAAACTGCAAACGGCTGTTTGTCCATACGAAAATGCAGTATCAGGTGACTGAAACCGATACTTTCTGAAAACTTCGCCCAGGGTGTTTATTTCAACAAAATTCCAGGTACGGTGTTTCTGATTCGCTTACACTCATCATGGGTTCACACCAAATGCAAAAGATACGATTGAGACAAATTACGCACGTTTGCAGCAACATGCCACATATTCAGTGTCGTTCGCACCATGGGACGGTAATCTGCCTATGGTACCAAATTTACATTGACTTTTATGCATTTTACAAATGCAAGTACTTAATGAACCCAGCATAAGTTTCATCGCCCCCTGTTGGTTCGACATGCCCATGCCATCTATCATAGTGCATTTTTGCGAATAAACTATAAAGCAATAAATTATGTATACCAACAAACTACTGATGTTTTATGATCAATTTTATGATCAATTGTGTACAAAATAAAAGTTTGTATGTGTGTGTACTACTATGTATATTTATTATGGATGTAAAAATGCACACATACAAGCATATATTTTAGAAATGTGAACATATTTAAATAAAAAAAATTATATATATAATTATTATATATAGAAAATGTTTGAATGAATACATATATATATATATATATATATATATATATATATATATATATATATATATATATATATATATATATAAACATTTTCTATACATGTACATGCATATAACTATGGATGTGTGCATTTATACAAACTAAATATACACAGTAATCACAAAATCATATTATTATTTTATATATTATTTTTTTGTATGCAATTTGTGACAATTAATTGTTTAACAGCACTATAAACCAAACATTTCAGAGAAATGAACTGCTTTTTGCCACTTTGCAGATTGTCTACAAGCAGAAACAGCTATTTTACACTAACACAAGTTTGACATTTACAAAAAAAAGGATAACAGGTGGCATTACTGAAAAAAAATTAGTGCAGTTTCAGCATAATAGGATGTTTTTACAACACTCACAAGCTGTCGAGTCCAAAACTAATGTTGCAAATAAATCAATACAATGCAGAATCTTGCAAATGGACATTATTGAGCCAGCATCATTAGGATCCAGTTTAATTAGGGCAATTCAAAACTGCATTCACGAATGGCGCAGCTTCACATGATTGCGTTTTGTGAAGATCAGGGTTGATGTGTGTGTGTGTGTTTTCTGATGGAGCAGCTGTCACTGATGCTGACTCAGGTATCAATATCGTATCGAATATACACACACACACAGAGCTGTCAGGTGCTGAGAGATGCTTTCTGAAGTCTCCAGTAAAGAGGCCAATCACTGTGACCCAGATACATCATTCAACCTTCATCACACAACACTGATTATTTTATCACTGAGAGAGAAAGACTGGAGAAAAGAGAGAAAGAGAGGAGGTCTATCTATAGTCTGCACTGAGTAGGCCAATAGTATACTTGTGCATGCTAGTTCACACACTCTCACACACACATCACTGTAAAAGATATCCGTAAATTTGCA